AGAGGGGAAAAGGAGGTTAGTGTGTTGGTGGAAGGAGGGTCAGGTGACCCAGCGGTGAGTAAAGGTGAGTCAGAAAAAGAAGAGCGAATATCATCAACCTTTTTTTTAAAGTGGGTAACAAAGTCGCTTGACAGAAGTGAGGAGGGGGGAGGAGCTTTGGGAGGGTCCAAGAGGGTGGAGAAGATGGAAAATAGTTTTTTGGGATTGGAATAGGAAGATTGGATCTTATCTTGAAAGAAAGTGCTTTTTTCCTGAGAGATCGAAGCAGAGAAAGAGGAGAGGAGAGCCTGATAGGTTAGGAGGTCGTCACGGTGTTTGGATTTCCACCATTTCCGCTCTGCTGCCCTAAGGACGGTTCTATTAGCACGCAGTGCATCATTTAGCCAGGGAGCAGGAGGGGACTGACGAGCCTGCCGAGATGTGAGAGGACAGAGAGAGTCCAGAGTGGATGAGAGAGTAGAGAGGAGAGTTTCTGCAGCAGAGTTTGGAGGCAGGAGATGGAACGAGTCAGAGGAAGGGAGGGCTGAGAGCACCGATGAGGCAAAGGTAGAGGGGGAGAGGGAGCGAAGGTTACGGCGGACAGGTGCAGGATGAGAAGAGATTAGTTTGTTATGTTTGGAAAGGGATAGAGAGAATGAAATGAAGAAGTGATCGGATGTGTGGAGCGGGTTTACAGAGAGGTTAGAAGTAGCGCAGTTCCTTGAGAATATGAGATCATGGACATTGCCAGCTTTATGAGTCGGTGGGGACGGAGACAGTGATAAAGCAAAGGCGGTTAACAGAGATGTTAGTTCGTCTATCTTCCCTGTCTGGAGGTTGAAGTCTCCGAGAAGTACAGCGGGAGGGCCGGTTTCAGGGATGAGTGAGAGGAGATGATCTAATTCCTCCAAGAAGTCCCCCAAGGCGCCTGGTGGACGGTAGAGAACAACAATGGTTAACTGTATAGGATGGGTTACTGTGACGGCATGGAACTCAAAGGTGGAAGGAGTGAAGTTAGGTAGCTTGAAGAGGGAAAAGCTCCATTTGGGAGAGAGCAGGAGACCAGTGCCACCTCCTCTGCCAGTGGGTCTGGGTGTATGGGAGAAGGAATATGCAGTGGAGAGAGCTGCTGGGGTGGATGTGTTGGATGGAGTAATCCAGGTCTCAGTGAGAGCAAGGAAATCCAGAGACTGCAGGGAGGCGTAGCCAGAGATGAAGTCAGCCTTAGGAACAGCTGACTGGCAGTTCCACAGGCCACCTGAAACTAGATGTTGGATCTCAGTGGAGCACGTGGGATAGACGAGAGCAGGCCGGTTATATCGATTAGGAGATACACGGCCAGTGATAATTGCGAGAAGACACATGAACAGGAATGGAGAAAATACACATGATTATAGCATGAGGGGCTAAACAACCAAAGAAAAGAGAAATAAGACACCAGCTCAATCAGAGTAGGATGTGCCTCCTCTTTGCCTCCCTCGTGACTCCCGCAGGACTCCAATGTCTTTGTCAGTCTTACTCCCGCATGACTCCAATGTCTTCGGCTGTCTGACGCTGAAGCTGACGCTCCAGGAAAGAGCTACCCAAAATGGACGCCTGATTGCTCAGTTCTCACAGCTGTAGGGCCACGGCCCTCTAATTAGTTAACTATCTACAGCTGATGGGCGACAATAGACTGGCCCTGCCTATATTAATGCAGGCTTGAGTGCTGAGACCTGTAAAGCAGGTTTCGCCTGAGCAGATCTGAGATTTAAAATCTCTCAAACGCGATTTAGCCGTTTTAGCTACAGTAACAATTATACAGAGTCGAATAAATGAAACAGAGAAGTCTAATTAAACAAGAATATAACTTACAGTGGTTGCTGCGTCAATAGGTAATGTCGTCACCGGGTCCAGATGCATATTATATATATTTGTATTACTGTCAGCACATTTGTTTGCACTAATAACTTTAGATTTTGTTTTCAAGTTAGTATTATGATTGTATTATTATATAATTTAATTATTATAATTACAATTGATTATTTAAACAATTTTGGTTCAATTAGTTTTCACGTCACGGGGGTCCCTCGGAGGTGTTGGGGGCGTCTCCCTGAGGCTGGCCAGCCCGGAGGTGCACTCTGTACTTGTCTTGACCACCCTTCCAACTCACACGATGTTCTCCATCTCACCCGCACATGCCATCTTGCCTCCCACCACACTTCACTCTGCCATGCTGGGAGTCGAACTATCAACTCTCTGGTTGTTGGGCATCCATTTACCCCTTCAGCCAAACACACCAGTACATATTCCAGTCACATTTCACTGGCCTCTACGGTTATTAGGGCGACACAAAGTGAGGTATAATAACAAAACAACAGAGCATGCTGGGAGTTGACCCCCTGACCCTCAGGTTGGAAGACCATTCACCCCTTAAGTCACACACACTATTGCATTAACCTCATACTATTACCCGCTTACATTATAACATTATCTTACTTTAAAAGCTTCTACCTTTGAACTTTATAATCTGTCCAATGGTATTTTACCCTTTAAAGGTCCCGTGTCTCACGGCCATTTCTCCTGATCATAGCTCCATCGTTGAGGTCGACTAGAATAGATTCACTTTGTTCAATGTTCCAAACTCACATTGGTTTCTCACAGCATCTCTGTAGAGTCTGTGTATTCACTCTCTGTCCTGCACGCCTTGTTGGAGCTCCTGCCCCCCCCCCTCCCTGTGAGCCCAGTGTGCTCTGATTGGTCGGGACGTTGAGAGGCTCCTTGCTGCGAGGAGCGGACAGGTTTCCGGGTCGGCGATACAGCGAGAACAAGCGAAACTCATCCTGAGCACACACACACTCACAGCCGAAGTGAAAACAAGAAGTGTGGCTTGATATTGAGTAAGAAAAAGGTTTCTAACGCTGTGAGAATCTGTGGAGAGCATTTCTCCACCATCCCAACTCGTCTGTTACCAACCAGGGAGTTCTATGCAACTCAATGGGACTCCCTGTTAGTTGGCCAAGGGGTCCTGGTGAGTGAGATGCTCCACGGATTGGTCCATTTGGGCCAATCCGGTCATTTGTTGTTGATCTGGATGTTCACACGTCACAGAACCCAGGAAGCACACAATGGAAAAGAGAAATGTCCATCGAGGCGTTCTGGGGCAGACAGGTCTTCTCTGTGTCAGAGTGTTACTCCCTACAGGCTGCACTTTGAGGGTTAGAGACTCTGCAGAGCGTTCACATGCAGAAGCTACAGAACACAAGGGGACGGGTCAGAACCAGAGAAGCATGACATGGGACCTTTAATTACATGTCTGTTACAATGAAACATTTATTTCATGAGATTGTAACTATTGTTGACTTTGACACCGGGAGGAGAGGACTTGTCAGAGGAGATATTGTTCAAACATTTGTTGAAACTCATCACAAGAAGCCCAACTGTTCAGAAAACACACGGCTACCATCTGGACTCAGATATCTTTCAAATGTCCTTTAGAAACAATGGAATGAAACCTCGGTACCTTTCCAACTTTACCAAACTTCAGGGTTTTTTCCCATTGAAAAAAACCCTCCATTCTGCGACTCGTGTTCTTTGAAATGAGTCAACGGTAGAAATAACCAAACCATCTTATACCTAATGTGGTCGATCAAAAACATCTTGACATTAAACTGACCCTAGAGATGACATTAGAGGTATCAACACTACCTCTGTTCACATAGCACCAGAACAGGATAGATGTTTCAACGCCAACAGACTGAGTTGGGAAACTTCACGTGAAGCAGCTGTTTTTAGAGCCAATGATGGGACGGCAGTTTGAAAGTAATACACCTAGAGCCACAAATAGATATGACACACACTCCTTGTAATGTAAGAACGCTGGCTTCACACACACACTCACACACACTCACTCTCAGACGGACAGAAATGTCTCTCTGAGCTCATCCCTGTAACTCGAAACAAGACGCACTTTGTTCTGAACAGCTGCTGAGTCTGGGTCCTGGTGGTCAGTTTAGATCTGTTCTGCCCCTAACCCACATTGATGGTAACGCCTTTGAGTTGCTGTATGTCCTCTGAACAGTAGCGTCTTATCAAGGAGAAGTTCATATCAATCAATGTGTTTTCATCCAATCAAATACCAGCTCTCCTGGGACGTGTCTCCATGATCTAATGTTCAAACAGCTCATGCTGCCTGTGCTGCAGCACCTCTTTTCACCCTCTGTCTGAAACCAGAGCCCAGTCCGCTCTGATTGGCTAGCTAGTCGACTCTGTTGTGATTGGTCAACCTGCTTAGAGATCACGTACAGTGTGTTGGAGCGCTAGCCAATAGGAGCGTGAGTGTTCCTTAGTGATGTCACTGGACGTAAACAAAGGAGTCCAATGAAGGCGATTCTGAAATAGTCAGAGTCTAGAAACCAGAAGTCAAAGTGTCCTTTTATTGCCTCAAAACAATAAATAGTTCATATCTGTTAAAATGCAGAGTCTGACGGCACATTTGAACTAAGTGTCGAGAACAGATATTTGTCTTCCTTTTGCTTTCACTATGACCCCAGAAACAGATCACTCGCTCATCTTTATCTTTGGATGTCCCCCCTCTTATCACTTTACATCACATGTCACTTGTTAGACGCTTTTATCCAGAGCGACTCACAGACTCAGCACTGAGGGCAATCCCCTCAGGAGCACTTTGGGGTGAAGAGTGCCAGGGACACAACGACATGCTGACTGCAGTGGGGTTTGAACCTGTGCCCCCTGATCCCAACACCAACGCACTATCCACTGCGCCACACGCCTCTTACACACGGTAACATCTGCATCTGCATCACGTAGAAGGAAATAAACCCCAGTGTGAACGCGGCCATGTGCTCACAAACATAAACAGGATGTGACCATGAGCTGAGTTTAGCACGGGGCATTCCTGACCCACTGCTAACAGCAGCTGTGAGCTAATGGGGCGTAAATAGCCCAGTGTGGGGCGGGGGAGGGGGGGGGCAGGACAGCTGGGGGGTATAAAGAGCAGAGGAGTCCTGTGTGATGTCTCAAACTACCAACAACAAGGAAACCACTTCACTGGAGCCTAAGGAGATCTCAGAGGCACATTTGTAGGTTTTTTAAGTCAGAAACTGCCCTCCGCCGCCGCCGCCATGATGTCCCAGAATGCATCTCTGAACAGCCTTTTTGGCGACGACCCTTTCTTCAGCTCGGACCGGCTGCTGTGGCCCATGCGTCCGGCCCCGCTGTCCTCCTCCCTGCAGCAGGACTTCTTCAACCAGAGGACCAAGATGGCCGACAGCCTCCTGAAGGAGCTGCATGACGGGCCCCACATGCTCAATTTCAACCAGTTCCCCCTCATTTCCTCCACTATGGCCAGGTACGTTCAGCACGTGAGATAAGGGTTTCCTCCACTATGGCCAGGTACGTTCAGCACGTGAGATAAGGGTTTCCTCCACTATGGCCAGGTACGTTCAGCACGTGAGATAAGGGTTTCCTCCACTATGGCCAGGTACGTTCCGCACGTGAGATAAGGGTTTCCTCCACTATGGCCAGGTACGTTCAGCACGTGAGATAAGGGTTTCCTCCACTATGGCCAGGTACGTTCAGCACGTGAGATAAGGGTTTCCTCCACTATGGCCAGCTACGTTCAGCACGTGAGATAAGGGTTTCCTCCACTATGGCCAGGTACGTTCAGCACGTGAGATAAGGGTTTCCTCCACTATGGGCAGGTACGTTACGCACGTGAGATAAGGGTTTCCTCCACTATGGCCAGGTACGTTCAGCACGTGAGATAAGGGTTTCCTCCACTATGGCCAGGTACGTTCAGCACGTGAGATAAGGGTTTCCTCCACTATGGCCAGGTACGTTCAGCACGTGAGATAAGGGTTTCCTCCACTATGGCCAGGTACGTTCAGCACGTGAGATAAGGGTTTCCTCCACTATGGCCAGGTACGTTCAGCACGTGAGATAAGGGTTTCCTCCACTATGGCCAGGTACGTTCAGCACGTGAGATAAGGGTTTCCTCCACTATGGGCAGGTACGTTACGCACGTGAGATAAGGGTTTCCTCCACTATGGCCAGGTACGTTCAGCACGTGAGATAAGGGTTTCCTCCACTATGGGCAGGTACGTTCAGCACGTGAGATAAGGGTTTCCTCCACTATGGCCAGGTACGTTCAGCACGTGAGATAAGGGTTTCCTCCACTATGGCCAGGTACGTTCAGCACGTGAGATAAGGGTTTCCTCCACTATGGCCAGGTACGTTCAGCACGTGAGATAAGGGTTTCCTCCACTATGGCCAGGTACGTTCAGCACGTGAGATAAGGGTTTCCTCCACTATGGCCAGGTACGTTCAGCACGTGAGATAAGGGTTTCCTCCACTATGGGCAGGTACGTTCAGCACGTGAGATAAGGGTTTCCTCCACTATGGCCAGGTACGTTCAGCACGTGAGATAAGGGTTTCCTCCACTATGGCCAGGTACGTTCAGCACGTGAGATAAGGGTTTCCTCCACTATGGGCAGGTACGTTCAGCACGTGAGATAAGGGTTTCCTCCACTATGGCCAGGTACGTTCAGCACGTGAGATAAGGGTTTCCTCCACTATGGCCAGGTACGTTCAGCACGTGAGATAAGGGTTTCCTCCACTATGGCCAGGTACGTTCAGCACGTGAGATAAGGGTTTCCTCCACTATGGCCAGGTACGTTCAGCACGTGAGATAAGGGTTTCCTCCACTATGGCCAGGTACGTTCAGCACGTGAGATAAGGAGACCTTTGAAACCGCCTTTCAGATCAAAGAGAGGGAGGGGAATGGTTTTTACGGGCATGTTAAATATTCTCTAAAACTAACACTGGTAACCAAATATCAGAAAATGAGATCAATAGATGTCTCAACCGACAATAGAAAGTAGAAATTATATATGTTACGTTGAAGCTTCACACTTTGAGCCAATTGTGGAAGGTTTTCCCATGTTTTACATTCATCCAGTTTAATCTCATTTCCCTCACTTTGGTACGAACATGTTAAAGTAGAGACACTACATGCTGATATACACCTGAACATCAGCAGGAGAGGACTCTTTAAAGTAGAGACACTACATACTGATATACACCTGAACATCAGCAGGAGAGGACTCTTTAAAGTAGAGACACTACATACTGATATACACCTGAACATCAGCAGGAGAGCACTCTTTAAAGTAGAGACACTACATACTGATATACACCTGAACATCAGCAGGAGAGGACTCTTTAAAGTAGAGACACTACATGCTGATATACACCTGAACATCAGCAGGAGAGGACTCTTTAAAGTAGAGTCACTACATACTGATATACACCTGAACATCAGCAGGAGAGCACTCTTTAAAGTAGAGACACTACATGCTGATATACACCTGAACATCAGCAGGAGAGGACTCTTTAAAGTAGAGACACTACATGCTGATATACACCTGAACATCAGCAGGAGAGGACTCTTTAAAGTAGAGACACTACATACTGATATACACCTGAACATCAGCAGGAGAGGACTCTTTAAAGTAGATACACTACATGCTGATATACACCTGAACATCAGCAGGAGAGGACTCTTTAAAGTAGAGACACTACATACTGATATACACCTGAACATCAGCAGGAGAGGACTCTTTAAAGTAGAGACACTACATACTGATATACACCTGAACATCAGCAGGAGAGGACTCTTTAAAGTAGAGACACTACATACTGATATACACCTGAACATCAGCAGGAGAGGACTCTTTAAAGTAGAGACACTACATGCTGATATACACCTGAACATCAGCAGGAGAGGACTCTTTAAAGTAGAGACACTACATACTGATATACACCTGAACATCAGCAGGAGAGGACTCTTTAAAGTAGAGACACTACATGCTGATATACACCTGAACATCAGCAGGAGAGGACTCTTTAAAGTAGAGACACTACATAGTGATATACACCTGAACATCAGCAGGAGAGGACTCTTTAAAGTAGAGACACTACATACTGATACACACCTGAACATCAGCAGGAGAGGACTCTTTAAAGTAGAGACACTACATACTGATATAAACCTGAACATCAGCAGGAGAGGACTCTTTAAAGTAGAGACACTACATACTGATACACACCTGAACATCAGCAGGAGAGGACTCTTTAAAGTAGAGACACTACATACTGATATACACCTGAACATCACCAGGAGAGGACTCTTTAAAGTAGAGACACTACATACTGATATACACCTGAACATCAGCAGGAGAGGACTCTTTAAAGTAGAGACACTACATACTGATATACACCTGAACATCAGCAGGAGAGGACTCTTTAAAGTAGAGACACTACATGCTGATATACACCTGAACATCAGCAGGAGAGGACTCTTTAAAGTAGAGACACTACATACTGATATACACCTGAACATCAGCAGGAGAGGACTCTTTAAAGTAGAGACACTACGTACTGATATACACCTGAACATCAGCAGGAGAGGACTCTTTAAAGTAGAGACACTACATACTGATATACACCTGAACATCAGCAGGAGAGGACTCTTTAAAGTAGAGACACTACATGCTGATATACACCTGAACATCAGCAGGAGAGGACTCTTTAAAGTAGAGACACTACATACTGATATACACCTGAACATCAGCAGGAGAGGACTCTTTAAAGTAGAGACACTACATACTGATATACACCTGAACATCAGCAGGAGAGGACTCTTTAAAGTAGAGACACTACATACTGATATACACCTGAACATCAGCAGGAGAGGACTCTTTAAAGTAGAGACACTACATACTGATATACACCTGAACATCAGCAGGAGAGGACTCTTTAAAGTAGAGACACTACATACTGATACACACCTGAACATCAGCAGGAGAGGACTCTTTAAAGTAGAGACACTACATACTGATATACACCTGAACATCAGCAGGAGAGGACTCTTTAAAGTAGAGACACTACATACTGATATACACCTGAACATCAGCAGGAGAGGACTCTTTAAAGTAGAGACACTACATACTGATATACACCTGAACATCAGCAGGAGAGGACTCTTTAAAGTAGAGACACTACATGCTGATATACACCTGAACATCAGCAGGAGAGGACTCTTTAAAGTAGAGACACTACATACTGATATACACCTGAACATCAGCAGGAGAGGACTCTTTAAAGTAGAGACACTACATGCTGATATACACCTGAACATCAGCAGGAGAGGACTCTTTAAAGTAGAGACACTACATACTGATATACACCTGAACATCAACAGGAGAGGACTCTTTAAAGTAGAGACACTACATACTGATATACACCTGAACATCAGCAGGAGAGGACTCTTTAAAGTAGAGACACTACATACTGATATACACCTGAACATCAGCAGGAGAGGACTCTTTAAAGTAGAGACACTACATACTGATATACACCTGAACATCAGCAGGAGAGGACTCTTTAAAGTAGAGACACTACATACTGATATACACCTGAACATCAGCAGGAGAGGACTCTTTAAAGTAGAGACACTACATACTGATATACACCTGAACATCAGCAGGAGAGGACTCTTTAAAGTAGAGACACTACATACTGATATACACCTGAACATCAGCAGGAGAGGACTCTTTAAAGTAGACACACTACATACTGATATACACCTGAACATCAGCAGGAGAGGACTCTTTAAAGTAGAGACACTACATACTGATATACACCTGAACATCAGCAGGAGAGGACTCTTTAAAGTAGAGACACTACATACTGATATACACCTGAACATCAGCAGGAGAGGACTCTTTAAAGTAGAGACACTACACACTGATACACCTGAACATCAGCAGGAGAGGACTCTTTAAAGTAGAGACACTACATACTGATATAAACCTGAACATCAGCAGGAGAGGACTCTTTAAAGTAGAGACACTACATACTGATATACACCTGAACATCAGCAGGAGAGGACTCTTTAAAGTAGAGACACTACATACTGATATACACCTGAACATCAGCAGGAGAGGACTCTTTAAAGTAGAGACACTACATACTGATATACACCTGAACATCAGCAGGAGAGGACTCTTTAAAGTAGAGACACTACATACTGATATACACCTGAACATCAGCAGGAGAGGACTCTTTAAAGTAGAGACACTACATACTGATATACACCTGAACATCAGCAGGAGAGGACTCTTTAAAGTAGAGACACTACATACTGATATACACCTGAACATCAGCAGGAGAGGACTCTTTAAAGTAGAGACACTACATGCTGATATACACCTGAACATCAGCAGGAGAGGACTCTTTAAAGTAGAGACACTACATACTGATATACACCTGAACATCAGCAGGAGAGGACTCTTTAAAGTAGAGACACTACATACTGATATACACCTGAACATCAGCAGGAGAGGACTCTTTAAAGTAGAGACACTACATACTGATATACACCTGAACATCAGCAGGAGAGGACTCTTTAAAGTAGAGACACTACATACTGATATACACCTGAACATCAGCAGGAGAGGACTCTTTAAAGTAGAGACACTACATACTGATATACACCTGAACATCAGCAGGAGAGGACTCTTTAAAGTAGAGACACTACATACTGATATACACCTGAACATCAGCAGGAGAGGACTCTTTAAAGTAGAGACACTACATACTGATATACACCTGAACATCAGCAGGAGAGGACTCTTTAAAGTAGACACACTACATACTGATATACACCTGAACATCAGCAGGAGAGGACTCTTTAAAGTAGAGACACTACATACTGATATACACCTGAACATCAGCAGGAGAGGACTCTTTAAACTAGAGACACTACATACTGATATACACCTGAACATCAGCAGGAGAGGACTCTTTAAAGTAGAGACACTACATACTGATATACACCTGAACATCAGCAGGAGAGGACTCTTTAAAGTAGAGACACTACATACTGATATACACCTGAACATCAGCAGGAGAGGACTCTTTAAAGTAGAGACACTACATACTGATATACACCTGAACATCAGCAGGAGAGGACTCTTTAAAGTAGAGACACTACATACTGATATACACCTGAACATCAGCAGGAGAGGACTCTTTAAAGTAGAAACACTACATACTGATATACACCTGAACATCAGCAGGAGAGGACTCTTTAAAGTAGAGACACTACATACTGATATACACCTGAACATCAGCAGGAGAGGACTCTTTAAAGTAGAGACACTACATACTGATATACACCTGAACATCAGCAGGAGAGGACTCTTTAAAGTAGAGACACTACATGCTGATATACACCTGAACATCAGCAGGAGAGGACTCTTTAAAGTAGAGACACTACATACTGATATACACCTGAACATCAGCAGGAGAGGACTCTTTAAAGTAGAGACACTACATACTGATATACACCTGAACATCAGCAGGAGAGGACTCTTTAAAGTAGAGACACTACCTACTGATATACACCTGAACATCAGCAGGAGAGAACTCTTTAAAGTAGAGACTCTACATACTGATATACACCTGAACATCAGCAGGAGAGGACTCTTTAAAGTAGAGACACTACATACTGATATACACCTGAACATCAGCAGGAGAGGACTCTTTAAAGTAGAGACACTACATACTGATATACACCTGAACATCAGCAGGAGAGGACTCTTTAAAGTAGAGACACTACCTACTGATATACACCTGAACATCAGCAGGAGAGAACTCTTTAAAGTAGAGACTCTACATACTGATATACACCTGAACATCAGCAGGAGAGGACTCTTTAAAGTAGAGACACTACATACTGATATACACCTGAACATCAGCAGGAGAGGACTCTTTAAAGTAGAGACACTACATACTGATATACACCTGAACATCAGCAGGAGAGGACTCTTTAAAGTAGAGACACTACATGCTGATATACACCTGAACATCAGCAGGAGAGGACTCTTTAAAGTAGAGACACTACATACTGATATACACCTGAACATCAGCAGGAGAGGACTCTTTAAAGTAGAGACACTACATACTGATATACACCTGAACATCAGCAGGAGAGGACTCTTTAAAGTAGAGACACTACATACTGATATACACCTGAACATCAGCAGGAGAGGACTCTTTAAAGTAGACACACTACATGCTGATATACACCTGAACATCAGCAGGAGAGGACTCTTTAAAGTAGAGACACTACATACTGATATACACCTGAACATCAGCAGGAGAGGACTCTTTAAAGTAGAGACACTACATGCTGATATACACCTGAACATCAGCAGGAGAGGACTCTTTAAAGTAGAGACACTACATGCTGATATACACCTGAACATCAGCAGGAGAGGACTCTTTAAAGTAGAGACACTACATGCTGATATACACCTGAACATCAGCAGGAGATAAGGATAAGTAAGACTCTAACTCAAGTAAAATATTAAAGAACTAGTAGAGTAGTTATTCCTCCACGTCCTCAGACAGCAGTAGAGTCTTGAGAAGGTTCTGGTTCTGGTTCTGACCCAGACTCTGATCCAGACTCTAACTCCGGATCTGGTTCTGTTTCAGGCTCGGTGAGGGCTCCTCTCTGCAGGCCGCCGCCTCACAGGAAGTTCAGCCGGCGGCAGGAAGTGACCTCCTGGTGACTCTGGACGCTCGAGGTTACGCCCCTAGTGACATCACTGTGAAACTGGAGGGGCGGAGCTTAGCGGTGGTGGCCATGAAGCAGGGGGGGGCGGAGGACAGCCAGACCGTGAGCTCCGCCTCGTCCCGGGCCTCCTTCAGCTCCTCCGCCTCTGCAAAGTCCGGTTTCGTCCAGAGGATCGACCTGCCGGCTCACCTGGACATCAGCCGCCTCTCCTGTGAGCTGATGGGTGACGGACAGCTGCGGATCCACGCCCCCTCGGCCCAGCAGCCAATCAGCGGTGAAGAGGAACAACAGGAAGTGCCCGGCCGCTTCAGGTCGTCGCTGGAGTTTCCCGTCAGCAAGGAGAAGAGCGAGGAGAAACACTGATGAACACACACACACACACACACACACACACACACACACACTGAGAGACTGTCGTTGAAGATTAACGTTTACCATTACTAAATGAAGATAATATTCATTTTATAATTATTTGCTGTTTGTATGAACTGTTGAAATTGAATAAAGTTTGATTTTCAGAAATATATATTTGTAATAATAGTCCAGGGGTTATTACTGTCAACAGTCTGTAATTCACCTTGGCGACCAGCAGATGGGGCCAGCAGCCAATGAGGAGAGAGGAAGGCTGTGGGCCGATATTCAATAAATCATCTCCTCCTTCCTTTCCTAACCACTTCTCCTTAAACTGAGTGAAAAGGTGATGGGTTAAAAGAGGCCCTGTTCTTCTTCTGTGGTGTTCCCGCTCCTATAGTGCATGTAAATGGTCTGCAGAGGCTAAAATCCCTGTGTTCCTCTGGAGGGGTTATTTAACCTCCTCAGGTCATATCTGTAAAAGTGTGCATGTGCAAAAAGATGAACAAGGACACTAAAGTTAGAAATGTGTTTTAATAAAATGTAATAAAATACATGTATATTCAACAGAAAACACTTCAATCAAACATAGAGGGAAAGATTAACAACACATTAGACGGTAACCAAATGAACAAGTCAGACCGGACATGACGTTGTACTTTACCATCAATTATAGATTCATTAAATTGTGTAATTTAGGCATTCAAACTTCTCATAAAGAGGAAAAAGGGAGACATTAAGCTTAAGTTTGTTAACTATCGATCTCTTGATGCTCCATGACCTTAGAAATTGAGCTTGTAATATCACATGAATAAGACGACACCTAAATCTGAAGACTAAAGAAACATGCGTTCAATAGTTTTGCTAAAAGCTAATTTGCCTAGCTTAGCAGCGTAGCAGTTATTACCAGCGACGTGCAGTCAGGGGAGGACAGCCTCACCTGTCATACTCCTATGTAACTGGAAAAAAACTAAAGAAAAACTAAATAATAATAAAATGTCTCCACTGATCTGTGTTGTAAATGTGATTTCTGTTTGATTCCAATCGCTTTTTATTGTCAAAATCGTTAAATTTGCCGAGCTCTGCTACAACTACATGAGAGCGATGAGCAGTGAGGCAGGGACGAGCTCTGCCTCACGTCACCCCACAGAAACTGGCTGGAAAGCGGGCCCTAAGCGCATGTCTGTTACCATCTCACTGTAGGTCACCAATGTAATGTTTATAGATCCCTTTATTACATTTATCCTCGCCATCCATAGTCTCTAAATAACTTATTTCACGTATATATGATATTTAGGCTCGCTGGTCTCATCGTACATCGGCAATGAAAAAAGCACCAGGGGAGGCAGCCATAACCTCTGCCGCACTGAAGGGGGCGCACGTGAGCCCACAGGTTCTTGCTGCTACTGTTATTCTACGCAGAGACGGTAGACGCAAACAACAAACACAGCCCCACCTAGTGTCAGCAGAAAGTATTACAAATAATGATTACAAAAAAATGCCAAAAAAATATATATATATAAAATATATTTTAAGATCATGTTTAATCATCTGATTCGTCTCATTGCTGTTTTAGTCTGTGTTCTTTAGTGTCTACAGTGTGGGCCTGTTGAGCTGTTTAGAGCCATGTGGGACAAAACCCGATCCTGCCCCTCCCTCTCACTGTCTAAGTGAACGGTGACTGTAAAAACTACACTGCGCATGCTCAGAGTATTGTCCTATTTAATGTGTGTGGTGTAGTGCTGAGAGATAGGGAGTCAGAGGCGGTGCAAGGAAGGTGCAAAAGGGTACTTTATTTAAGAGCAGCTAAGGTCATGTTGACCGGTTGCAGTCCGGGAAGAAGAGAGAGAAGAGAGGAGGGCACACAACATATATAGACAACACATAACAAGTCCGTGTGGGAACAATACCCCCAACTGTAGTTCCATGTATGAATTATGTAACCCAGTGTATTAATAGGTGGTCACCACAGTGGCAAACAAATAATGACCATAGGGGCACTGAGCTGCCATCCCCACCATACGTCCTCTCACATCATTCAGAGCTGATTGGCTGTAAGTACGAGAGAAATGTACCTGTTAGATAAATGCACGTTTTGTTCAGCCGGATAATATCCACATGTCTACCCTACTTTTATCATTTTCCAATCATAAATCTATCGATTAGATTTATGATAGACTTTTGAAACTACAAGAAGATAAGGAGGACTTTTACAAAAAAGTAATAGAGATTGTTGTCCAGAAGGAGAGCATGGACTTCATCTTCAAGTCAAGGTAAGACCGCCATTGTAATGAAAATGAGATCTTACTAAGAAAGAACAATCCAATATTTAGATGTTGGGTATCCTTTTGTTGAACGGTCTGTTTAAAATGAATCGAAGCATCAGACTAAAAAAGCTTTTGAAAATAACAGAATATTTTGATTAAGGTCAAAATATGTAAATCTGCCTCTGAAAGAGTCAGTGCCTCACCAGCCTTGAACTGCACGTCCCTGGTTATTAGCATCTCTGATTCCACTTTCTATCGGGACGTTTCGACCCAACTGATCTGTACGCCTTTAGAAACCTGAGTAGAAATGCAGAACGTTTTGATTTGAAACATAATGGCGGATAAATGAACACCAAATAAACTAATGCTAAAAGCAAACTAGCATAGCTTAGTAGCATTGATACCCAATCACAGATCCGGTCACTTCATACACTCTCTGCACTATTTGGCTTATTGTATTTATGTATTGTCCTGACAGTTATATAACTTACTTCATCTGAACTACTTGCACACTTGTCTGCAACACAATTCTTGCACTATTTGTATTGTTTATTGGTGTCATTGTTTTATGTCTTGTATAACTTGGTTGCATCGTTGGAGGAGCTCTGGACTGAAGCTTTTCACCGTAGCTGCTGTGCATCTGACGGTAAAGCCTTTGAATCTTGAATCTTTAAACTGGGTTATGATAATAGTGTTCCTTCATTGGTCAAACAGGTTAGCCCTTCAAGACTTTGGTCACAGATAAATTGGAGGACAGATTAGTATTTAAAACAACATGTGATATTGTTTCCTGCCTTGTAATCTCAATCCTACAACTTTGATAAACAGCAGTGCCGTTTAGTACGGTGTATGGAATAATATAACCATGATCATGACAACTACTCTCTTCTCCTGAGGCTTCATCTTCTCCTGAGACTCTGTGGGACCCCTCAGAGGTTCTGATACACATCCTCATCCTCATCCTCTCCACTAACAACTTGCTCACTAAGGGCTACGTTAACGTAATCATCCTCATCGTCACTGGATTCTCTTTCCTCTCCGTCCTCTTCGTCCTCTCTGAAGTCAGCACAGCTCTCTTGCTGCTCGTAGACATCGATGTCCTCTTCCTCCGCTCGTCCTGACTTCTGTTTCTTCTGCGGGACCAAGTCATCCACGTTCATATAGACGTTCTCCTCTTCCTCATCTTCCTCCTCTTTGTATTCGTTGATGGCTGTGACAGACACTGAAACACAGGCAGGAGGTGTTTCCTGAAGATCAGATTTAATTCTTCACGCCTTCAAACTAAGTTAATGTTCTCCAGGTTGCTCAGGGTCCGTATATTATCAGACTTCAGAAATCATGTTACAATAAAGTTACCCTCTGGTTCCTCTCTCCAGTTCACCACGCGTGTATTTGTTTGAATACAAGTAGATACTGTGATTTACAGGATTCATTATGTATTTGATGCACAGCGTTAATACACTAGCATTGGATGAAACTGTTTTGTGACTCCATGCATGTACTTTGTTCAAAATGCAAACTCAAAGTGAATAAGTGAAATCAAACCGAACAAAGGAACGTGGCTTATTGTTTGACTCGAATCTGAAAGCAGTTTGTACCTGAATGAAATGAAAGATAAAGCATATTAAAAACACAAACAGTCCGTTAAATCAAACAGACATACTTGGAGTTTGGTTGAGGTCTACGGGTCTCCTCCTGCGGATCAGGAAGAAGAAGAAGACCCCCCCCAGCACCAGCAGGACCAGCAGGAGACCCCCCCCACACACTGAGGAGACCAGCACCATCACAGGAACTACCAGAGAAACACACAGTCAGTCATTTCCAAACCGCGTTCTTCATTGTTAATCTGATCCACCTACACACCGCTGATGTTTGCCTTTAACTGTCTGTGGTCGTGGGGTCCGGTTGGCCGGGGGACATTTACCTAAAGAGATGGAATAATGTTCCTGTTCTTTAGTTATCAAAAGGTCAATTCACACATTGCCATTACTTTCAGTCCCAAATATGCAGCTTTGTTCAGTTAGCGTACTGAAATATCCAATGGAAAGGTAGCCAGTTAGGTAGACAGCTAATGTTTGCCAGCTAGCTAAATAGCTACTGACCATGGATGTATAAAGGGAACTAGATTGCATGACTTTGACTCATAACACAGTTTTTCTAGGATGTGATATTACACATTTTACTTAAAGGTCCCATGTCATGCTTCTCTGGTTCTGACCCGTCCCCTTGTGTTCTGTAGCTTCTGCATGTGAACGGTCTGCAGAGTCCCAACCCCTCAAAGTGCAGCCTGTAGGGAGTAACACTCTGACACAGAGAAGACCTGTCTGTGCTGCCCCAGAATGCCTCGTTGGAGATCTTGCTGGGTACAGTGACGTGACCATACCCAAATGGACCCATTGGTTCAAATGGACCAATCCGTGGAGCTCTTCACACACACTCTGTCAGCGGCTAAACTGTGACGCGCTGGGGGGGGGGGGGGGGGGGGGGGGGGGGGGGTGCTAGTGGAGCCTCGCAGCGGCGAAACTGTGGCGCCCTTACACTGTCTGTAGGTGCGCCGCGTTTGGGGGTGCGGGGGGGGGGGGGTTCGGGTGCTAGTGGAGCCTCGCAGATCGGGGTGCTGCAGCCCCCTCAACACCCCCCCCCCTTCCCGCGTCCATTCGCGATGTCTCGCTGTCTCGCAGACCCCACGCAGCAACTAGGAAATGACCCCAGTAACCCAGCTCACACTGTCCGCTCCTCACAGCAGCGAGCCCCCCAACGTCCCCCCAACACGGCCCCCAGACCCCACGCAGCATTCTCACCTGTTTGTCATCACTGGTGTCATTTCCTGGTTGCTAACAAACGCCAGTGTAAAACATCATCACTGATGTTCCGCTGTAACGGTGGTGGACTCATCAGAACAGAGTGGGCGAGCCGACCAATCAGAGCACAGTGGGCTCACAGGGAGGAGGGGGGGGGGCAGGAGCTCCAACAAGCCGTGTAGGACAGAGAGTGAATACACAGACTCCACAGAGATGCTGTGAGAAACCAATGTGAGTTTGGAACATTGAACAATGTGCATCTATTCTATAGACCTCAACACTGCAACTATGATCAGTAGAAATGGCCGTGGGACCTTTAAGTTTAGTATCTGAGTACAACTTGTTCCTTTGGATTTAGTTTCCTCTTACATGTGATGATGACAGTGAGGGGTGCTTCCTGTGTGGAGGTGAAGGTCCTGGAGGAGGACAGGGTGACCTCGTACAGACAGCTGTAGCTTCCCTGCTGCTCAGGTCCGGCTGCAGGGAAGCTGAAGGAGGCCGAGTGGTTCACTGCCGGCCTGCTGACGTTAAGGCGGGACCCAGAGAAGAGGAGGGAGAAGAGTCCTCCAGGATACTGAGGAGCGATGGAGCAGGTGAGGAGGAAGCTGTGACCTCTGGTGACCTCTGCACCTTCAGGGCTCCAGAACAACCCCCCGCTGGGAGACGTCACGGAGAGCTTTGGCCGCTGCAGTGGCACTGAGGGGAAGAACAACAACAACAACAACAAGTAGAAAACATTACGGATCTGCAGGGATGTATATCTCAAATGTGGCCGCTTCAGTCAGAGCTCATTGTGTCAGGGAATGGGAATGGCCCTCTGCTGGGACTGCTACCTCCACGACCTGACTCCAGAGAAGATGGACGGAGGGTAAACAATAAACCTCTTAATCCTTAATCCTCAAATCCTAGTGAAAACATTCTGAGGACTGTATCTTCAGTGTCTTTGACTTTCTATCACCTTCACCTCGCAGAGCAAAGAACACTTTGCCAGACTGAACTCTCACCAGCTGGAGGCCGACAGCTCTGAAATGATCTTTTCTTTTATGTAGAAATAATCTCAAACATAACTTAACGCTTACCAGAAACAGAGAGTCTGACGGAGTCACTGAAGGGAGAGCGTGAGGCCCGTATCTGATACTGACACCGGTACCATCCCTCGTGCTCCAGGTTGACTTCCTGAATGCTGAAGGAAGCAGAGCTGCTACCTGCAGTTCTGGACTCTCTGAAGGAACTGGAAGTCTTTTCCAGGATGAACGTTGTCTTAGAAAACAGCTGTTGAGGTAAAGTTGATGCAGAACAGCTGATGCTGACGCTCTGACCCCAGGTGACCTCAGGACCATCAGGGCCCACGAGCACCTCACCTCCGGGAGACGTCACGGAGAGGGTGGGCTTCTGCTGCGGCACTGAGGAGAAGAAGAAGAAGAAGAAGATTTTTGATTTTTAAAACAAATTTTATTTGCATTTGTTTTAAACATACACCCACCCTGCAAAAGAGTCGGAACAGAACTAATACATTACACAATCAAATAAATAAATAAACAGATTTTCATGACTACCAAATAAATATCATTTGAAAACCCCATTTGAAAATGTTTTACCCATTTAAAAACATCCTCTTTTACACACTTTAAAAACAAAAACTACACCTATCCTTTAAAACTTCAATATGAGAGTCATTCTCCCCAGCGAGCACAGAACCTGCCCCACAGCCCACACATCCAGAAACCCCTGCAGATGGTTGATCAGCGTATAGTACGCATGCTCCACCCTCAGACGCGCTGCCACCAGCCCCCTCAGACCGAGCACTGCATCCGTCAATCCCACTCCAGCAAGTTGGTTCTTCCTACTTTTCCAGATTGCTAATTTTGCATTAGCAAACAAGAAATGTATCAATAGTAGGGTTTCCTTCTTTTTCAGGATGTATTTGGGGCCATGGACAAAAAGTGGTATGGAGAAAACCTCCCCGAACCCTTCCACCCACACCTGTAACATTTTTTTAAGACCAGCCAATCGGGGACAGGACACTAAATGCTCCAATGTTTCTGCCATAAAACAGAACGTACAGCCCCCCCTTGTGCCTGGGTCAAAATGAGCTCTGTATTTGTTAGTGGCTATTGCACCGTGTATAATTCTCCATTGAATGTCAGCCATCCTTTTCTCAACCGGAGATTTATACAGGATCCGCCAGCTGCCCTGAGGGGAAGAGCCCAAGCCAAACACATCCGTCCACCTCGACTCTCTGACGCCTGCGAGCGAGCTGAGGGTTAGCACCTTTACACATCTAAGATATAGCTTCTTCCCATTGCAGGAGGTGAACTTTGCAGGTGTTAGAGTCCCCAGTGATAGCAGGAGACCATCCTCCTCTCTCCATTCCCCCACCGCAGGACCCACACTCAAGGCAGGAAAAACATAATCATGTCCCTTTCTCCACTGGTCAGCCAGATCTGCATCCAGAGCAAAAGTCCGGTGGGATGGTGACAGCGACTGCCACACCTCATCTACCAAGTTCTCCAGAACTCGGGTTGATCGAATGCCCGTCACCTCAGCCAGTGTTTCTGTGGAGACCCCCGTCAAATGGCCAAGTTTTACCACTCCCGCTTCAATGAACGCATGTTTTAGGGTGGCTGAAGAGAAAAGGGTTCCAGAAAGAAACCAGTGTCGAACAGTGGCTCCTCAAACAGCCACATCCCAGGCCGGGGGTCGGGTGGTCTGGTAAAACTCAGAATCTTCCAGGCATTGATGACTGAGCAGTAAAAAGGTGTGAGTCCAGTTATCTTGTACGCAGGGGCCTTCAGCAGAAACAGGTGTTTATCAAAACCAAAGCCCCCGCCCTCCAGAGCAACAGCCGGGCCATAGCCAGCCAGCAGGGAGAGGCACCAGACAGCAGCCGCTGAGCTGCCTATAGTCTAAAAGCAGCAGTCCTTGCAGTAATGTCCACGAGGCCCTGGCCCCCCTCCGCCACAGGCAGGTACAGGACCGATGCTGGCACCCAGTGATGACCCGACCAGAAGAAATCCACGAGGAGCCGCTGCAGTTGTTTCATGAGGCCCGGCGGTGGGGTTAACACCTGGAGTCTGTGCCACAGAGACGAGGCAACCAGATTGTTGGCTACAAGAACTCTTCCCGTGTAGGACAGCTGGGGTAGCAGCCATTTCCATTTGGCTAATCTTGCTTGCACCTTTCCCAGCAATCCCTCCCAGTTCTGTGCCACCATGTCCTCAGACCCCAACCAAACTCCCAGGACCTTTAAATCCTTGTTTCCCCAGCTGCAAATCTACCCCCAACAGAAGATGCCTTACAGCAACATGTATTAAGAGCCATGTACCAGACCGCAGTGTAGTGTCACAGCCATGTGGCCAAGCCTCATCTCTGGAACCCAGTTGGTAGAGGGTGGAGGCTCAGAGAAGATGGGTCTATTGAACCAGTGATGTTCGTCAAAGAACCTGCACCTAAAGAAGTCAGAGACATCACCCACCTATACTGTAAGGACGGAAAGTGCAATGATAGCGGCAAATGCCAATGTCTTTCAGTAGGCTTGACCTGCACAGAGTTTTGCTCTTGCTCTGACTGCCCAAATGTGAACCATGTTGTTTTTGATGACAATGTGGATGAGTGATAGAGATGTGTTTATATGCATGTATCCCCCGGCTCCCACTAGCTTAGGTTTACTTAAGTTTAGATAAGAACATTTAATTTGAATACTAAAGTTTGTTAATCCAAAAACCTGTTTCCTTGTCTCTGTGTCTCACCTTCTAGTCCCTGGCACATTTTGGCTGCAGTTGGGCATAACAGGGTATAAAGACACCATAAACGTTTAGTGACATAACTCGATGAGTATGTAAGCTACCTTTACACAATTGGTATTGCTGGATTCAGTAGAACCACACCTTTTCAACAAGCTCTTGTGTGTGTTGCTATGGCAATCCATGTCAGGGTCACTACAAAGTAAAGAGATCATTCTACATAGATACATTTCCGCCTATTGTAGGTATGTGTTCAAATGACTGTATCTCCAATTAACATTAAGATATTGACATTCAGTCTTTTATATAATGCAGAGGGATGTCCTGACCTCAGGTATGCCAAGTTTTAAACCTATCAGACCTTCCATTGTGAATCTACATGAGTTGTTATGCCTCAACCCCCAGACGGCCAACCTTTATTTTTAGTGTGGGGTGTCTAACTTTATATATCAATTTCACAACTTTTGCAGTAAAATATTTGTATACAACAATCCATTTAATGTATGGGAGGCCTTAGAGATGAGGAACAAGTAAGTTGTGTTTTGTCCTAACTCCGGGAGGGGTATCTCAAAATGTTGGGGCCATTGTCACTAGCCTATAAGGTTACCAGGAAGACTGGGCCTATTTTCTAGACTCCACTGACCTACCAAAACTGCCTCACTCTTCTCCCAGTTAACTTTGGCTGAAGCAGCCTTCCTATACAAAGCTAAACTGTCCTGTCGCTCCTGGATATCTCGCTGACCCTGGACAAAAACACTGACATCATCAGCATAAGCTGATACAACCACCGGGGGGGCCTGAGCTGACTCTGGCAGACACAGGCCCCTCAGCCGGTTTCTAAGTCTGCACAAAAGCGGCTCGATGGCAATACTATATAATAGGCCTGAGATAGGGCAGCCCTGCCTGATCCCCCTTTAACTGGTACAGGTCTGCTCAGCCCTCCCCCCACCTTCACAACACAACATGCATCACTGTACAAACACTTCACCCAGGACAAAAGATGCTCCCCAACACCAAAAGCCTGAAATGTGGCAGCCAGAAACGTGTGATCCACACGATCAAACGCCTTCTCCTGGTCAATAGAAATGATACCAACATTTATATTATACAGTTTGCAAACATCAAAAGTGTCTCTCATCAAAAACAAATTGTCCACAATTGATCTGCCAGGGATACAATATGTCTGATCAGTACCGATAAGAAGTTCGATAAAACACTTCAGTCTGTTAGCTAAGACCTTTGACAGTATCTTATAGTCCGTACATAAGAGAGCCACAGGTCTCCAGTTCTTCAGCAGGGTTAGATCTCCTTTCTTAGGCAACAGTGAAATCACTGCACGCCTACAGGAAGCTGGAAGAGTCCCTTTCCCAAAGGACTCCATCAATACTTCCAGCAAGTCATGTCCCAGAATACTCCAGAAATGTTATAAAAAGTCTGCAGGTAAACCGTCTATGCCCGGAGCCTTGCCGGAGGCCATCTGTGTCACCGCAGAGGTCAGTTCCTCCAGCGTAATGTCAGAGCCCAGGGTGTCACTTTCGGCTGGACTCAGCTGTGGAAGACCCTGAAGAAGTTCATCAGCAGCTTCCACGTCACAACCTTCGGCTTTGAACAGGTCTGTGTAGAAGGACACTGCATGCCTCCTCATCTCAGCAGGTTCAGAGGTTACCTGTCCATCGGGGAGACGCAGACATACCATCTGCTTCCTTTGGCCCACAGACCTCTCCAGGTTGAAGACAAAGATGGTTGGTGCATCAATGTCTCTCATGGAAGTAAAACGGGCCCTGATCCTTGCTCCTGTGGGGATTGCCCACAGTATTGAGTATGTAAGTCACTTTGGATAAAAGCGTCTAACAAGTAACATGTAATGTAATGATCAGAGCTCCCTTGGCCTTCTCCTGAAGAAAACAGTTAAGCTGTTGTTGTTTTAGGAGGGACTGTTCTATATTTCGAGCAGACACACTATCTAACTCTCTGATCTCCCTCTCTAACTGCTATATAGCTCTCCTAATGTTTGCAGTGGAGTAGGCTGTATACTGTTGGCAGAACACTCTAATCTGAGCCTTTCCTACCTCCCACCACTGACTCAGGGAGGGAAAAGACTCTTTCTTTGATTTCCAGTTGATCCAAAATAATTTAAAATTCTCACAAAAAGTCAAATCTTGTCAAATGTTAACATTAAACTGCCAGAACGATCTCGGTTTCTCTGTGTTGGATAAAACCAAATCTTAAGAAACTAGCTGATGGTCTGTAAAACCAACAGGTTGGATGTGACAGTTCACTGCACGACTAATAGAAGAAGCAGACATGTAAAATCTGTCTAGCCTGGCTGCACTGACGCCCCCATCTAGCATTCTCATCCAGGTGTATTGTTTAACAGAGGGGTGCTTCGTCCTCCACACATCCACTAAGTCAGCCTCTCTTATCACCTGTGACAGTAAAAGGGACGACTGAGGATGCGGCTCCCGTCCTATTCTGTCTAAAGTGACATTAGTGCAAGCGTTCCAGTCCCCCCCCAGTATAACACACTCCCCCTGTACACTAGTGCCTAGCTCGTCTTTTAATAACTGAAACACAGATACACGTGCAGGGCCCTGATTGGGTGCATACACATTAATAAAAGTGAAAAAGAACTCTAACATTTCCACTTTCACCATCAAGGCTCTACCTGCCACTATCTCTGTGCTGGATCACATCTTAACATTTAGAGAGGGGGAGAAAAAAACAGCTACTCCAGCACTAAGGTTTGAGCCATGACTGAGTACATACTGACCCCCCCACCACATTCCCCAGTCCGTCTCATTCAGGCTATCACTGTGCGTTTCCTGCAGAAATATCACATCTAATTTATTCTGATTAAAGACCTCCAACACTAAAGCTCTTTTCTGTGCACTTCTACCCCCGTTAATGTTTAAAGAAGCAACCCTTAAAGCCTGCATTAGAGGAAGGAGACAGAGAAAAAGAACAGACAGGTACACACAGCAGAGAGGAGACACCCAGTGTTGCATGATCATTTTGAAATTATTTAGACCTTTTCAGTTTCCCCCCTTTTTTGCTTCCTTTCGTAACTTTTTCCATAGCAGTTACATGCTTCCTGAGACGATAGCGTCTCTTTTCATCCAGCAGGTCTAACCCTACAACTTTCTGAAGAGAGCTCACTGTATGAAGAAACTTGTTAGTGTCAGGGAAAAAGTCTCTCACTTCCACTGCCTTGCCAAAGGACTCATCTAAAAAGACATTAATCTCTTCCAAAGAATATATCTCTGCGTTCTGAGAGAGACTATCTGCAACTGAAACACAGTCAGAATCCCCCTCACCATCTGTGTCCATCTCTGTCACATCATTATTGTCTGCAGCCTGTTGAAGCTCTTTTTGCCTCCCAGAACCAGACGGCAGCTCCTGACAGGTGGAGGCCAACAGCCTCCACCTGTCCCACAGCACCAGTCCTCACCTGTCCCGCTACATCATCTCCCACCCGTTTACCTGTTTCCACATGTTTTCCTCTCACACTCACCACACTCTCTACAATCCCTGTTTTATCTCTCACGATATTCATCCCTACTTCATCCGCAGCCCCAGCGGCCCCGGCCGCCCCAGCGACCGGCTCGGCGGCCCCGGGCTCGGCGGCCCCCGGGCTCGGTGGCCCCGGACCCGGCTGCCCCGGACACGCCGCCCCGGGCTCAGCCGCACCCGGCGGAGCGGCGTGCCGTCTCTGTGGACATGCAACACGTTTGTGACCCGACTCTCCGCACTCAAAACACTTTACGTTCCCTGAGCTCGCATAAACCATATAAAAACCCTCTTCGTGCCTCACCCGGAAAGACACATCTAGTGTCTGAGTGGGACAATTCAGAAACATGAAAACCTGTCTCCGCAGAGATTGGACATGTTTTAGCTTTCCATCCTTACACCCCAGAGCAACAGTGCGGAGAGTACTGGCAAACTTACCGAAACGCTTCAGCTCCCGTTCCAGCGCCTCATTCGGGATGAATGGAGGAACGCCAGACACAGTGATCCGCGTGGACGGTGTCGCCAACGGCGAAACTTGAATATATTCCTCGTTTACCATTAATCCGCTCTCCTTAAGTTCCGTCACATATTTCTGGTCTTTCAAAAAGACCACGACCGCTTTGTTCATGCGGGAAGCAGGAGATGTTTACATGACCGACCTGCTCCCCCACAGCCAGCAGCACCTGCTCCACTGTGCTTGCGGCCTGAGCCACCAAACGCACTCCGTGTCTCAGAGACACCGGCGGCGCCCCGAAGGACGCCATCCCCGCCACGAGGCACGGAAAAACACTCACGAAAAAGTATTAACTGTACTTGCAAAGAGTACAAATATCCCCACGAAAGATCTTACAGTTAAAGAAACGATTGAAACAGAAACAAACGAAATAAAAGTGAAAATCCCTCTTCAAAAAACACACCTCCACCACAGAAGAAGAAAAGAATAAGAAGAAGAAGAAGAAGAGA